AATGGCACTCACAAACAATTCGTTAAGTGACAACTGAAAAGTTTGCCTCACTCCACATCAACACATAACGGTCACGGATGTTGTACCTAAAATTGCATAGTTGTTGTTTATGCTTCTGATGTCTTCCTCTTTTTACATAATTCTTGCTTTGTTTTGCCAAATGTACAATACAAAGTGGCCGCGCATTTCCCCCTCATCACGGAAGCCTTGTTAGATTATCAACTTTAAATACCTCAGCGTTCATTGGTGCGTCTCTCCAGACCTATTCAGCTGTCATTTGGTATGCGGATGCGTAGCTAGCATAATTTAGCACTACAAATTCTTGCAATTCATTCTTAAGCGTGATTCTGATGCCGACATTTAGAAATCTCTATTTTTAGCCACAATACTTACGCCAAAGAAACGCGGACTTTAGCGTTCTGCGGATACCAATCGGAGCAGGCACTCGTGTGGAATTGAACTCACTAATTAAAATATTAAATATATACATGTCGCTTAGTGTCATTGTGTGTGAATATTGACTTTAGAGCTATGAATTATTTTAGATGAAGTTCCCTTTTTATGCACGAAAACTTCAACTCAATTTAAATAATTTTGAAAGTCAACAATGAAATCAATTACTAAAAAAGAAACTCAAAAAAATAGAACAAACTGGTCGTGATTAAGAAGTGTTCATTTCAGATGTGTATAGTGTATATACAATCTAAAATTAAATTTTATCGAATCTCTCAAAAAAATAGCGTAACTTTATTATCGTCTACAAAATAGGTTTCTAAGCCGTGTTTCGTGTTTTCATAGACAAAAGAGGTTTTCACGCGAAAACTTGTCCATACAAAATCTGTCAAACGAAAACACAGTTTTCGCTGAAAACCCCTTGAAAACTTAGATTCCACTAATTATAATCGGGCTCTAGTTTAATCGATATTATTAGCAGACATATTTTGCCAGCCCTAAATGTCAGTTGACAATTTGTTTACATTCCATAATTGGCCTAAACGTACCCTACAAGAAATTGCTGATGGGCTCACCAATACACTCACATTTGATATGTCAGTACTGTTAATTTACATTTGAATTTTTAAATTCAGAACTATCCACTGATTGGAGAAAGACGTACTCAGAGCTATTGAGAGGAGGATTTATTTTTATATTTTCATATTTTATTATATTTTTTGTTGCATAACTTTTTAAATTTAAGTATATTATTATAACTAGTTTTGATTAAAAGTTTGAAATTTATTAAAGAAATTAAAATTATGTTATCTACTACGCAAAAGAATTTTTCACTTCTGATAGCGTTTCAGTCATAACTGACAATTTTCAGCTATGACGAATTTATGGTCAGCTTTGACTGTCATATTACCCATCAGATGACCGTCACTGTTCTTGTAGGGTACATAACAAATGTAAACAAATAGATGTCTGAACTGTCAATAAAAACTCATCGAAAACACACAGTGTCGGTCAAAACGACTTTGGTTCCACAATCCACAAATTGTGTTTCCAAGAGGATTTCAATTCGGTGCGAACATAGTATAAGCCTCGCCTAAGACGACCTAGAGTGCTTTTAGCGAGCTTTGGTTTTTTTCGGTTTCGACTCATTTTCGGAGCGCCTTTCACTAGATTGTGCCAGGTCACAAAGGCATCAAGGGCAATGAGATAGTGGACGAGATTACAAAGAGTGGTATATGGCTGTCACCCTAATACGTGATCAACATTGGTAAACTCATGTATTGTCTATACGACAGCGCAGGAGCATGGCAACTAAACCAAAATGCGATGAACGATCCTCCTGCGAACAAATTGCAAAAGTCATATATAAAATGGTAGTTTGGAAATAAACTGGTCGAACTCGACTGATCGAGAAGACTTCTGGTGCAACAATGGATCATATTTTGTGCACTTAGCCCGTATGAGAAAGGCAACACTTTCAGCTTTTGAGCCGCACAGTATAAGACACTACAAGAAGTATCGTAGGTGACGCCATAAAGTCGCAGTTTTCCCAAAAGATGACTACACCTCATGGACTCCGTAACACAACTCCATCTAGTAGCATGACTCATCAGCATATTAGCATGAACTAATCTAGAGTAATAAGAACAGATGATATTTCATTCAAGATAGGGCCGAAATAGATTCTCTCTACGAAATTTGATATATTGAAAGTACAGTTTTTACTGAGAAGCTCTCAACTGTAGAGATAGAGCTGAAAGTAAGAAGATGTCGAAAAATAAGATCATAGAAAGTTTCGTATCTTAAAACTATTATTTGAATACTGTATACTTTTTTCAATCCGTTATTTTTCCACTAAAAACCGCAAAGCAATTACGGCTAGAACCTTACGAAAACATACTACCATCGCCTCCATATATTTTGAATCCGAGCTTAAACGCAGACATTCCAACCAGGAAATCACCGCCAATGTCGTAAATCAGGCGTTGCTGGTGGTTTGCGCCGCTTGTATCGGCTGCAGCTTGCCAACCAGCGCCCAGCGTTTAATGCCTAACTGGCTTAACGCGCGCCACAGAAAAAAATTATTGCAATTAGCATGCAGAGCCAAAATATATGTGGCGTGAAAAAAATGCAAAAAGTACATCACAGAAATAAGTGCAAATAATGTAATTTCGCAACAAAACAACGTCGGCTACATTTAATGGGCAACACGGCGTATGCGGGTGCTTATGCGGCTTAGCTTAATGGCTGCCGACAGGCTGACTGGTCGACTAAGTGGCTGACTATTGCCATGGTTGCACGGCTGGCTGGCAAATGCCGAGGCCACCAAAATAGCAATAATAGCAACAACAGCAACAAATGAGTAAAACAAACACCATTTGCGGCAAAACGGCAACAATTGAACTATAAGAGCAACAACAACACAAGCAAATAAACCAAAAATGCAAGTAACAAAAATGGCACCGAACATGCAAACCGACAGCGGTGATACGGGCGGCGAGCGGTAAGGACAATGTTTTGAAATTTCAATTGGGTCAGTCAAACAATTAACGGGACAACAACGTACAACAGAACTTTGCGGGCGCTGACAACCAAGAAGAGCAGCAGAGCAACAAAAAGTGCCAGCCGGCCTGACAGTTTGTCGGTCAGTCAACAAAGCAGTCAGGTCTGCTGGCCTGTTATTGTTGACTTTTTGCGATGAAATGTCAGCAACAGCAGCAGCAATGCAAAACAGGCAATGAGTGACAGCAACTACAACTGTCTCTGAGTGAAGCAGCAAGCAGAGATCGTTGTAAACGTTTTTGCATATATGATTGGCCAGCTGTGGATGTGCAAATGTGCGCACATGTGATCATGTGTGTTCGTGTGTATGTGTGTTTATCAGTGTGGCACCATCGTCATCGTACTCTTCGCAGCTGTTGTCATTGTCAACGTCAGCGCCCTGAGCAATGCGAAGAAGTAACGACAGAATGTAAGCAAATGTTGTCCACTCACGCACACACAATTAAACTGAACGCATACATATGCGCTCATCAGTCGCCATATTGAACATATTCATACAATGAACAGCTGTCCAGCTGCAGCGGACCTCCTTGGCTCCGGCTGATGCGGCTGAGTGTAGTAAGGTTATTCGAAGCAGCCGATATGCCAAATAAAGGTGTGCACCAAGTGTGCTTGCGCAATCTAAGTAACTGCATGTTGACAAGCAGCTGACATATTTAGCCCTCGGCGTTGCGTTGTCGTTGACATCGCGCCACTCACCTATGAGTGGTTGTATGTATGCGTACATTTACAACTACTTTGAGTAAATGAGTTTGTAGAAAAAAAGGAAACTTTGAATAAACTTCTGAATTTTAGTTGCATTTATGTAGATACTCAAAGAATAACGGTTACGAATTCAAAAAAAAAAAAAAATAATAAAATGTTCTTAAAAAAGTTTGGTAGTCGCCGGAAACAGTGAACTCAGTGGACCTCAAGTTGAGTTCTGCACTACCTGTCCTCTTCACAAAATCTAATTTAACCTTTGCTCCCTGATAAACTCAGTCTAAGCTACTCAGGCTTACAATAGACCGATACACAGTGTCACAAACAAAATAAAATGATAGCAAAATAGCATAAGTTTGTATTCCAATTGCTTCCGCCTCTACTGTATACCCCGGATCTGGCATTAAGTCACTTCTGTTCTGCTTTCAGAAAACATTAGCCGAAACTGAAACCTATTTTGAAGCAAGAAAGCATGTATCATAGTACAAATATTCTATACGAAACGTTGAAAGACCGCTGTATTCGGTGTATGTAATGAAATCGAATTTCGCTAAAAATGCTCAACTATGCTCAGCTTAGAAACGATAGAAACTTTTCTCTGTCTCGAATTCACGGTTTGTTGGTGACGGTTCTACAAGTATTGGCTCCAAAGTTTACTCAATTCAGGAAATGTTGCAACTAATTCCCCCCATAGGTGTAATATTATTTTTCAAACGCGTAATCTGCCTCACTATTAATATGAAAAAAGCGGGTAATTCATCCATTATAAAGGTAGCCTGTTGTTCTTCTTCCCACAAAAAATAAAAAGATACGTGTGGCACTCGAGGACTGCCGCGGTAAAGCTATTGCAAAAAATTTTAACAACTTATGCAAGTATAATAATGTATTTATTTTTTATGCAATATTGTTGCGTCAGACCTCCTGAACTTTGACCGTTGCCTTAGTTCAGGAGGTTTTGACGTTTAGCAATTGCGCCCACATTTCCGGTGAAAGATGACTGAAACTATAGGTGATAACTGGAAAATACCACGTAAAGGGTATATTCTTGTTGTGGATTCATTTTCATCATTATTCATTTTCGAATTAAATTTTTCCAAAAGAAAAGCGAAGAGCGAAGTTATTGTTGAAATCGCCAGCCAAGATAAGTGGAAATTTATTACCATTTGAAATACATAATTTCAATTGTATTGTTAAATTCAAATGAGATACTGTAACAAAAGGTGGGGTTGCTATTTGCCAAAATAATAATAACGTTACTACTGTTATAGCTCTAAATATTGAGTAATTTATTTTTTATTAATTAAATTTTTATTAAATTCTATATTTTCATTTGCCATTAAAATAAATGTATCTTAAATATTATTATTTTTGCATCACCCTGCTCTTCAAGTTATTTCTTCCGCTTGAGATATACGAAAATATGCCTAAAAGTATGCAAACATTTTACGCAACTTTCTGATCATGTTAGTTTTATTTCACTTACGAAATTTCTTGATTCAGTCTCCGCGCTCAAAGCCCCGATAGAAGCTATGCAATATTCTTAAGAACAGCAACAGAATATTCGTTGTAGAAAAATCCCACCTTTTGCTTTCATTTGGTCATCGAGCAAGTAATTCCGTTTACGCCCACACACCCACACATGCACTCACAGTTGCTTCATGGCAGTAATGCAATGTAAAAGTGAACTCTCTCAAAACCTTGGCTTTGATAGTGCTGATCAAGCAGGGCTACATTTGTGGCATGTGCACACACACTCTGGCAACCTTTCCATTTAATTTTGCCCGCCCACTTTTTTCACATTTTCGCCACTTTTGCATTAGGCGCTCAGCAAGCGTGCGCTATAATTCCAACTGCATGAAAATCGCCTGCAAATGTGTTGATGCGTTCACATCAGCACAACAGCAACAACAACAGCAAGGCTTGCGTGAATAGTGGCGCACTAATGCGCTTGTTTTTCAAGCCTTTAAGCGAGGTAAAGGCAATAGCAACAAAGTTGGATGGCGTATTATTGGTCTACTAGGTGGCATGCTTCTCGTGGCAGTTGTGAGATCCGTGCAACACACACACATACACATGCAAACAGGCGAACACAGGCAATGCGCCTAATTCACTCAGCTTCATTGCGTTGCTGATGCGCCAGTTTCGCCGCTGATGCGTGTTGATGGCATCCGCCAAATAGCGGCGGCACTTCGTCATGCATATTTACACACATGCGCACATACACACACACAAACAGAGAAAAGAGTACCGGTACGACAGGCGGCTAGCCGCAACAACCACACAGCCAACAGGCGCTCCGAGTTACTTACAGTCACTTACCGCAGTGCAAACTTGATTATGCGCCTGTGCTTTTTTACTATCTCCGCCTATGTGTATATGTGTGTGTGTGGAGTATACGTGTGTGTATGCATCTGTGTATATGGGAGAGTAATTTGATGCAACGACGTGATAAGAATTTTCAATTGCAGGCTTTCACCAGGAAATTGTATGTATGTGTGTGTGTGTGCAATATGTGGCATTGTGTTGGCATATGCAGCGTGCCATAGAAGTACCAAAAATTTTACTTTCAAATATCCTTTGCGAAAAGTTACTTCTTGGCATTTGCTAATTTATGCTTCACACCCTTTCACTCACTGTTTCCACTTTTCCACAATTCCGCAACTTTCATTTTCATTTACATTTTCATGGTAATTTTTCTGGTCACCGACTTTAAGCATTTCAAATTATCGTTTCATTTTCATTAAAATTTCCCACTCGCCGCGTGGAGCAAACACAAATAAATTAAATAAAGTCACACAAAGACATTCGCGAGCAAATTGCCATTTTTGTTGCTGCCACACTACACTCATCACGTTGGTGGACAGCGTGGCAAACACACAAATTTGTAATCCTCTTAAACGAAAACGCTGAGTGGGCATCAAGCGTCCGTCGCTTAATTTGCTTCTTAAGACAATTACGCCATAAATTTTTGTCAAAAGGCAGAGAGAGAGTGCAGCAACCGGCTGCTCGAAATGGTGGCAGGATGTAAGAAAGGACATTTGAGAATTTGCGTGCAATCGGACACTGGTTGGGCGTACGGCAGCATGCCAGCACGTACGCAAAAGCGTTTTTTTTCAACTCTTAATTTTTTCGTTAACTTTCTGAATTATTTTTAATATAATTTTTATTCCCCTGTTAGCCTTAACGTAAGGAGAACTTTAACAAGCAACAAAGCTTAAAAGAGTTTTCTCTATAGTAATACTTGAATTTTTTAACAAAATTTTTAGTTTCTTTACAAATTTTCAAGTTTGAGTTTAGTCCTTTTTAAACTCATTACACTGTACAACATACGGCTGAGCATTAAAACAAAATACGGTTTATGGTATTTCTTATAACAAATATCAATATTAATTAACATAGCAGAGGACCCTGTATACATCAAGCAAATGGTGACGACACCTTGGTTTGTGCAATTGACGTCGAAACTGTACAACAATCTACCCAATGCCGCGCCAAAAATGTGCGGAAACCGAAAACAAAAAAATTCACTTAAGGCACTGAAAGTACTGAAAGCCATACTAGCCGAGACCTATGAAAAGTAAAATTTGAATCCGATAATAAATATTTGTATAGTCCAGGTCAATGTAGATCAGATGTTAGGCATAGAAAATGTAAGCGACGAATACTATCTGAAAAAATGAGCTACTAACATAAACGCTTTTTTCGGGGTAGAAAATAACATTTTCCCACTAAATCCCACTAATCGCAGTTTTATATGCATAATTACATATGTATACACTTTATGGAATTGAAAACGAATCTTTGACCTGTAAATATAATAATCTAATAGAAGAAGAACATAATAATAAAAATGTTTCAATGATATTAAAACATGGAAAATTCAGAACGATTCTGACCTTCGAGTAAAAGAAAACAAAAAATTCTAAAACATTAACTAAATATTGACGGATTTATGATGTTACCTTAACCTCAATATACAATGAAAAACAGTTTCGCACACTTCTCACCTTTTTAGGTAATAATTGCATTATTATACCAATAAAATGACCTCGCTTTAGGTATTTTAAACTGATGATTAATAATGTGTAGCAAGCAAGTCTGACATACTTGATTTGGTAATCAGGTATCAGATGCTCAAAGATTATGGAAATAATAGAGAGTATTTGAGCGGAGAGACGATGACAAAGTCGAAGAGTTAGAAATGTACCAACAAAACAGAGTTACCAGAGACAGAGGGAGAGAAAAAGAAAGAGAAAGAGAAAAAAAATTGTATTTATAATATTTGACCTTGGCTAACATTTACATTGCACTGTCTCGATAATTTACAGCTTTTCATCTGCCTGCTTGCTTTACCTTCCCTAACACATCGGTTTTACTTTTCTGTTCCTTAACTCTTTTGTTGGTTTTTTCTTTTTTTCATAAGTTTGCTTTTAGTTCTTCGCTTGGGTGTTACGCGCTCAAGAGAACCTAAATGTCATACCGTCATGCCAGTTTTATAATGTTATTCTTACACATCACTTTTGCTAATAAAGAAACTTAAACGCCAATAAACATTAAACTTAGATCAAATTTGGTAATACCTATTAATAATTTCATGAAATTTAAGCCGTATTCGGGACAAAGATATGAGTGCAATTTCGTCTGAATGGCGAAAGCTTTCAATTAAATTTATCGAATACAATAAATCAACTCCCGACCAATATGTCTTTGATGAATGCAGTTATGGAAAGACAATCGAATAATTATGAACCGAACCAAAAATGTCAAAATTTTGTAACACCACATATAGATGGTGTATCCACAGAGGATTCTCAGTTGCTAGCGCCAAAGCGAAAAGCTTCAGAACGCGAGGCATTCAATTCACAAAATGACGAACCAAACAACCCTGACGAACCTCTAAATTTGGCAATAAAAAGACGACATCTCAATCCGCCAGCAGTTAGTAAAAGTGAGGCTGTCAATTTCTTAAGTCATGCAGTTGACGTTCCCAATGACAATTCACCTTTCCCTGCTATGCTTTGTGAGGTTACGTATGACAATGACGAGGGGATGGAAACAGTGCCACCCAACCGAGATAAACGTAAGATATCACTGACCAATAACCCTATTCAGGAAGAGCCAATTAGCTTAACAAACTACACGAATTATTGCGTCGTCAATTTGGAATACACGAACACTAACAAAACGCCCGATGCACCAATAGACTTTAGCAGGAAGGTAGAAAAAGAGTCAGCAACAATAGCGACAGCCACAGCCATCGCAGTTGAAAAAACGTTTAATCTCGTCCCAGAAATTTCCACCAACAGCGATAGCATTAGCTTCGGAGGCACTATACATAAAATATTCAGCACAACATATGACCAAATGAAACAGATCGAGCTCTACAAAATAGAGCACAAGATTACATCAAAACAACGAGAGCCAGACGATGATGTCTATATAGAACTAGGACCGAAAGGTACAATGGTACCATTTAATGAATTGAAGAAAATTGATTGGACAGACGCCCTGGAAGCGACACACGATTTGCTCTCTCTTGTATTTCCATTGCACGTACTTGAGACACATGGGCTTAGCCGCAGATTTACGCTACTGGAACTTGACGATGATTGCAAAAGCCGACCCCGTTTGGACGATAACAAATTTTACGACATTCAGTACTACGTTACGGAAAAGACTAAGATGAGCGATGACGCTTTTGCATACATTGTTGCAAGGAGACTTTTGAAATTAGCCAAAGCAAAAGGATACAATCCCATCGAAATATCGTAACATTGTATGAAATATATAGTATTTTATATAAGAAAATATATACACATTTAATGTAAATTTTATATGTAATAGAATAAAAAAATGTATGACAAAAAAATAGGATTATGTCTTTCATGTAGCTAGGACTTCTGGTACTTCTCATATATCACATCTTCTTCAATTTATTTTTTTTTTTGTCATATATATTTTCCATATTTAGTCAACAGAAACAGGTTTGCATTTCTACTACTATTACTAGCCTAAGCAATGCAAAGAAACAGAAGCTAAAAGCGAAGTATTAAATGTTTATTATATTTTAGTCGTTCATTTATTATTTATTTTCGCATCGCTAGTTTTAACGAGAGCTCTCAGCTTCACTGTGTGCTCAGTCTAAGCAGTTAGCGAAATATTCGTTGAATGATTGCCATTTGCGAAAATATGCGTATGAAAGTTTAAAAAGTATTATTTTGAGGTAAATAAAAGTTTTTCCAAAATTTGAAGATATTTTTAAGTATCCCTGCTTTAAGTGAAAGGCGAAAGGTATTACTTTCGAAACTTCAAAATGAAATGGCATTCTATTATGTCTGCAATTTATTGATTCGAGTTGGAATTTCAAGCGTATTTTAAAATTTGGCAAAACATATATTACTAGATATAGTTAAAGAAAACATCTTGCTATATTAAGTACAATATAACTACAAAAAAATAAAAAATAAAAATACGAAAAGTTTTTTGTAACCCCAATTTTTGTATTTTTTTATAAAATAATGGCAAACTTTAAATAAACAACAATTTGTATTGAAAATAAACGACAATTAAATTATTTCATAAAAGTTGTGTTCTATTGATGGCAATAAAAACTTTTACCTCGTGTAATATTTTGTCTGCCCAAACTGTCTTATCAGCATTTAGTATTTTCCCATGTTCATACTGTTTTTGTTGTTTAGTAAGAACCGTTGTTTATGCATTTTCTGCAATTTTGGTTCTTCGTCATTGCTTCTTCCTTTGCTTTTCCTCCGCTTAATTTTAGCTTTGTCATTTGCAGTCTCTCTTCATCAGTTAACTTAACTGAACATCTGTCCACTATTAATTGTGTATTTGTGAAAATTTTCGTTATTAATAAAAAACATTTCTAGTTTCAATGTTGTTTGTGTTTTTAAAGAAATACAAATAATTTAAAATAAATCTAAAAAAAATCCAAAAAAAAAAATTATATTGGAGTTTACCGAGGTAAGTGCGACACCAAATTCCTAACCTAAAAATATATTTCTTAATAGTCTGTTCAAAAACAAATTTTATTTTTCACCTTAGGGCATTCTCAATGGGATTCTAGGTTAAGTCTTCCTTCATACATTTGTCATTTAAAACCTATAAATCTTAGTCTTAGGAAAGTACTTGGCATTATATTCTTTGTCAAAATCATTTATGAAACAATTTGCAGTTGTTGTCTGTTGTCTGAAGTTAAACTTAATCTCTCGGTCGCTTATGGATGCAGTTTAGGTCCATACTGTTAAATTCTTGTTGACCAACTTTTGAACTAAGCGAACCCACATATTTGATAATCATATCATAAAAATATTAAATCTTAGCTGTTGAAAAGCAATTTTAGATCTCGATGGTTAAAAAAGCTTTATTGCCTTTCATTACTTGGCTAATTTCGTAAGTATGCAGATAGCGCCTAACGTTGGTTGGGTGAGAGGAGGGTAATCATTGGTTTTTTATTACAATTACAATTTTAGCTTTTTCGTATTATAATTTAATTTATATGCTCAAGATTAAGCATGACTCAGTAATCTCGATTAGTATATGGTTATTGCACAGAGATTAGGTGTTTCAGAAACGTCTAAAACAATAACCACGTCTAACAATACTTAGGTTTTTTTTATGAAAGTGTGCTGAGAAATTATTTTTATTCAAAGCCAAAATAACTTTAAATGCTGCGAGAGAAAAATTTTACTGCGGCAGAATATAAGATACTGGCTAATCTAAAGGTCTCAACAGTTTTAAATCCACTATCTTAAGTGCTTTTGTGTTCGAAAATTTTGTTTACTTCTGTTCTCTGCTATTTACTAGATTAAATAGTGATTTTTTTATATATATTTTTTTTTATTTATATATATTAGGGTGGAGCGAAAAATTTTTTTTTTTTTGCTTAAACTGAGGGTCAAATCTGTAGATTATAAAATAAGAAAATTTTTGGGAAACAAAAAATGTTTCATATCATTTTCTGTCCATTTTAAAGTCATCAACTTAAAAAATTTTTTGTGGTCATTATTGGAGTTTTAAAAAAAGTCTTAAACGACAACATGCTTTCCTTAAGCGTTAAAATAAATTTTAAGTCAAAAACCGTCAAATTCGATAGTTTTTATATAAATGTAAAGAGTTTAAACCAAAAATATATATTACTTGTCCACAAAAATTTTAATTCGAAATTTACTTTAATACTGAGTGGGCCGCCTCTAGATGGTAAAAAAAAAAATTTTTTTTCCAAAAATTTTCTATTTTATAATCTACAAATTTGACCCTCAAGCTAAGCAAAAAAAAAAAGAAGTAAATATTTTATATATATAAGCTTCATTATGACCGAAAAAGCTTGACGTGAGTAAATGTGAAATTCCGAAATTGTGTATTAGAATAATAAAACCAATAACACAGATAACAATAACTACGAGCACCAATAGCCTAGTATACCAATTCAATGACTTGTAGAGCGAATTTGCCGTTGTTGTTGTTCAAATAAGTGCAACAAAAATACACATTTATATATTTTCTATGCAAAAATTTGAGCATTCCAACAATTAAAATTACTGGGGTGGATACCATCCACAAATAGTAACAGTAAGTATGCTATTTGAATTCGAAAATGGTAAAACAAACAATTCCATTAAAATAAAAAAAATTTAAATCGTTGTATTCAAAATAAATGCAAGAATTTTGTTAAATTAAAGGTAGAATAAACACAGAATTTAAAATATTGTAATTTAGACAGTTAAGTGTTCATTTATTCAATACTGTTTGCAAATTATTTTCTGAATTCAATAAAATTAAATTTAAATAACAAAATATATTTTATGATATTTCTTCCTTTAAACAATTCTCAAGATGAAATATTTTTTAATTTTGAACAGAGTCTCTCCTCTCTGTACTGTGCTTCAAAAATTTGGTGTTGGACTTTAGTTTGATTCCCAAATATATTTTCGTATCATATGAGATGCAGTGATTAAGAAATTTCTAGCGATGTCTTCTTTGAAATCACAGCAAACATTTCAGTATTGAAATTCACGGTTATACTTTCAAAAAGATATGCCGTCACTTACTTTTATACTTAAGTACAACGAACTTGACCAACAACTTGCATACATTTATTATACACTTCAGTAAAGACCCACAGAAGTTTTTATCCAAGAAACAGTAAAAGTTCTCAAAAAACCTTATCTGCTTCCTCTTTGGTCCTAAAATAGGTAAAAGTTTGAAAGAATGTATTATAATAATAACAATTCCATTGGCCATCAAAGCTGTGGGCTTAGGAAGAATCAACTAAGGTCGACGTTTCACCGAAATGAATTGTATGGAAAACATATCACGGTAGTTATAGGAAACGATGCGCCCCTATTTCCGTTCGAACGCTTCACCACGGCAGTGAAGTTTGCATGACCCAAGCGGAGACGAATTAACAACCGACAAAGTGATATCATTTTTTCTGTGCAACATGCACATCGCTTAGTTTTCAAAATACTTTGACATATTTTTGCGATTATTTCAAGGCAACTTCTATTATTTTCTCCAACTCTCGATAAGCTTGATTGTTATTAGTGTTATATATTATGATTTTGATTATTAAGTAAGCTTATTCTTCGAAGTTACGAGCATGATATACTGCTCTCAGCAAAGCTCTTAACCTGAACGACTTGTTATAAGCTCTAAAATGGTTAAAGCAATTTTCTGTAGCGAAGCTTGAAAAGATGTAACACTCAAACTAACTCCTATAGTTTAAGACCTCTATAATAAATGACTTAAATGCTGCGGTGTATTATATACATAATATAATAGCAGATAACACCTGCCTCCTAAATTATCACTGTAGTACAACCTAACATAAATAGATGATAAAAACTGAATCATCAAAGAGAGAGCAAATCATTACACAATTATAGGTATAATTCTTTATTAAAGATTAATTATGCTTTTCCAGACAATACTAAAATCAACTTTGTTGGCAACTTTAAACAAGCTTCTGTAAATTTGAGCTTCTTAGAAACCCAACACATGGTATTTTGAGTAAGTAATGTAGAACTTTAGTGGTTTCTAATGTAACGTCAACAAAAGCTTTGCGGACTTTTTATTTCATGAATAATAGCTAAACACCTTTCTTATAAAAGATTTCCTAGTAAATTTTAAAAAAGATGGCTTCAAGAGCGTCTATAGACACAAATAGCTTTCAAAGTTAAGCTTTTATTGTGTTTAGAAGAAATGGCATATTCGCAAGCACTGAAAACAAATCACGCATACACCTGCATAAACATTTCTCTGGGGGTCTGCTGGACTACGAGACCTCAGCGCCGAACAACGGAGGCGCGCATTCATAAATGTCAAGCTGAAAGGCGGCACAGCAACCGACATTATGTTGGGCTTAGTTTGGATTGAGCTGAAATGAAAGCCAGCAATTGCAATAATAACAACAACACAAATAAATAGCTAAATGCGTTGGCTTGATAGATTTACGAATGGGTTTGTTTGTATGTTGCTACTTACTATAAATGTATATACATACAAACAAATAAATATATATAGAACATATTGTCAGTGCGAAAGTCGACCAGTCTTCACAGCGTGTGTTTATAAATGTATGTAAGCATGTCAGGTTATGTATCTGCGTTGCTGCTATAAACCTACATACGAATACAAACAGCGCTGGAAATGCAATCGCGTTGGTATTTCTGCAAACATACTAACACACATTTATTTCTTTTATGTCATCCGTTCATGCTTTTATATGAAATCAAATAAAAGCGCTGTCGTCTTCGACGCCGCGTCGTGCGTCGTCAGCAACGCAGACAAGTGAAGCTTCTACAGTGGCAGTTCAAAGAAATTTTAATGGACTGTGGTGGGTTTTTATTTGCAACATAGCATAAATAGCGGCAGCTTACATATAAACTGACAACTAGAATCCAATATGGATAGCTAAACATATGCATGTACTCAGCTATAAACGGTTATGGAATGGCGGTGTGTGTTTCTAATGGCATAACGTTAAATGCTTAAGTGCTTGTGTGGCGGCTCATCCTAACGGATATGTGTCTGTATAGTTGCCTTAAGCAAAGGGAAATGCGCTGATGTTTTATATTATTTGTTTGTGTTAATGACATTTAATAGCGGTATTGCGCGACGGCACTTACAGCAGAGATGTGTTTTGTTTGTAATTTTAGAGAATTTTCAAAATTTTTTATCCCCGTAGTCATAATTCAATATTTGTAGGTTGTTTCGTCCTGGAAACTGTGTATTTATAGTTTTTTCCGAGAAAGTTTAGCTGACTTACATACGGGCGGAGCAAATACTTTCACATAATTGGCTTGAGGCTAGAAAACAATTTCAGGAAGTCTAAATTGGCTTGAATTTTTATCATGAAACCAAAAAAACTGTTTTGTATGAAACTCAAAATTAATTTTAAAATATTATAAAGTTGGTATCAGTGGAGTAAAAGTGTTCGCCTTGAACAATAATACATGTTAAATTTCGTGTAGATATCTTGCCAACTAAAAAAGTTTTCTATGCAAGGACTTGATTCTGACCGATCAGTTTGTATGGCAGCTATATGCTACAATGGATCGATCTGAACAGTTTGATCGAAAATTTTAGTGATAGGTCAGTTTGTTCGGCAACTATATCTTATATCACAGCTTCTTGGGAAGAAAAGGGCGTGCGCAAAATTTCATATCAATATCTCAAAAACTGAGCGACTAGTACCCATGTATGATACACAGTCAGACTGACGGACAGAGAGATGGACAACGCCGTAATACTGATCCTTATATATAAATTTTATATGGCCTCCGACGGTTCCTTCTGGTTGCAACAAATTTAATATACCCTGTTCAGGGTATAAAAACAACTCGATTGCAAGCCTTCGAATGAAAGTTATTGATGCACTGTTTTCTTTGATATTACAGCGACTGAGGTGCACACGCGATATTTAAACAAACATTCTATCTGGGGGCTATTCTCTGAACTTACTTATTTAAATGGAAGCCTTTTTGAACTGGATATCTAATGGAAACCAGGCGCCAAGTTTACCAAGTATAGATAGGCACCCGATACTTTCTAAAGCTCAAATAAAATTCGAAAATGAGATGATTATGAATGCTGACGAACCCGAAGAGCTCAAACCACTAATAAACAGATGGTTGGTAGATTATCAGAATCTAACGAGGTCAGAGCTTGCCAAATTCAACCCGACAACTCAGGAGGCCCTTAGAGCTAAATATATTTTAGCTAGGAAAATGACGGAAATATTAAAAGTACGCGCAGTAAGACGAAAACAAGGAAAACCGAATACTAAGCTGAATATGAAACTTGCCGATTTCCCCGAGAGACAAGAGCGTCCAGAAACGCGGCATAGTAAAAATTCTAATAATCAGCAAAATGAGGAGAGAAGAGAGCTTAAGGCATATGTGGAGAAAGCTTTCAGTGTCATCAGCAACGTGGAAAAAAGAAATACTTTATTACAGGACATATTTTATAGTAACAATGTGTCGAATGATGCAGACACTTCAACAAGTAACCCAACTACGAATATAACGAGTTGTTTTAATGTCGACGCCGTTACATCCGCTTCCACGGACGACTCACACACAATGCATATTAAGCCAAGTACAAACAGTTCCAGCGCTTTAACACCCCTTCGTCGGTCGAGCAGAAGAAGCACGACACCTCGTATCGATAATCCACAAAAGCGTGTGCTAAGGGAAGTTAGTGGAGAAGTCAACACAAATCAACGGGGCATCTCAAAGCCTATACGAAGGACTGGCTTGCCCACAATTGCCAACGGTGATACATACATAGTGATCGGTCCAAATGGCACAAAAGTTTCTACCAAAAAATTCAAAGCCATATCATTTGCGACACTAGGTATTGCCACGCGCAGCTTGCTATGTTTGGTTTTCCCAGAGGAGATTCTGGCGAAAAATACACTTAGCGGTAAGCCTTCGCCTGCATTTGTGGGACGTGAACGGCCGGCTAAAGGTCAATTGAATCCGGAAAAGATTGCAGATCTCGAATATTGTGTTATGTCCCGCATACATTCCTCCAAACACGAAGTTCGCTGCATAATCACCACTAAATGTTCGGAGGTCGCAAAGAAGTATAGGAGACTCAATAAAACTTCAAGACTCACTTATCGAAACGAAAAATTAAGAGAAATGAAACAGGAGCAGGAAACGAATTCCACGGTGGCTCGTTTGTCACAAATACGATAAACTTTTTACAATTTTTACGTTCTAACAATATTTATAAAGAAAATTCATTGTATGTTTGATTGATATATTAATATATGTTAAGTAAATATATTGTTGTAACTGTAGTATTTACTTATATATTTAGATAAAACCGATAAAAATTTATTTTAGGGCATCACCCGATAGAAAAATTTTATGGGTTTCTGTTATCAAAGATAAAGATAAAGATAAATAATTAAACATTTTTTATAGTCTTCATATTTTCGAATTAAATTTGTCTATCAAGTTGATTTCTAGAGTGTTGCTATTAACTTCTGTTTAGCTTTATCGAAGTACAACTTAATATAACTCAAATTGAGCAACGTTTTACATGGACATAACTCAGCCTAAAAGTTGAAAGAGGTTTCGAAATTTTAATTCTATAGAAAACGCAAATGTCATTCTATAATTGAAGGTCGAGCAATAACATGAATCGATTATTTCTTTTCAAAAACTGAGCTGAGTAATTGCTTTCTCAGTTGATTCCCTTGGTAGCCTTAATGAAACCAATAATCGCAATTAATAACAAAAACAGTTTGTAAAACAAGGCTTACAATTTACCATTATTACAATACTACAATTGGTCGATCAATTTCAGCAACTCTCTTGAGTAATGCCAAAGACAGTTGTGCGAAAAATATATTTTCAAATTTATTTCATGGCATCAACGCTATGTTCTTTCAACATATTCAACATATAATATATTAGTACAGTTATAAGTGGTGAAACTCCTGCATGGTGATGGTTTATAAATATGAAAATTAATGAAGTATTTTTGAACTGAAAAAATTTCTCTATCCAACAAAACGATACGAATACATCGGTTTTAAGGTCACTCAACTAATGCATTTTCTTTGAAATTACAGAACTTAAGGTGAATTCACGATTACCTGCACGTCACGACAGCAAGTGACCTACCTGTAGTAAGACTTATAAAACCTGCTGGCTACAGCGAAGCCTGCGCACAGTGAATTTCATATCCACAAGAGATTGACAACAAATACAACGTAGTACAAAGAGCAAAATAGATTGCAAAATATAGTAATATAAAGTATGGCTTTCCTCCCGATTCTTTCTAAAGCTCAATTCGAAGCCGAAAACGAGATGATGAAAAATGTCAAAGATCCCAGAGAGATGAAAGGACTGATAAACAGATGGTTGGTAGAGTATCTACCGAACTTAGAGCCCGGAAAATTTCACCCGTTAACTCACAAGGCTCTTAAAAAGAAGTATATGGTAGCGCTAAAAATGGCTGTAATTTTAAGAGAGTATGAAAACTTAAAGTTAGAAGAAAAAACTTTATTTCAAGAAGTATTTAGTAATGAAAAGGTGTATTCAGCTGCGCTTAATTCCGACAGCGGTATCTCCGCTTCTACACGCAGTTCGGGTTTTACAACACCCCCTCGTATGTCAAGCACTGCGGTATCAATTAGCCAAACTTGGCCAAGTGCAAGCAGTGCCACTTGCTCAACAACACCCACTCGTTGGTCAGACTGCAAGAAATTCGTGGCGCGTCGCATTAATTATAATTGCGCTGATCCACGCAAACGTTTGTTGAGAGCAATGAGTAGAGAAGGGGAAGACATCCAATCAATAAGTAGCATGGATGGCAATGAATCTGTTGCTAGCTATGAAACCACAAGTAGTGGAACCACGGAGGGTGATCGTACTTTCAATGCTAGTTTACCACAATTTAACTCCCCACTACACGCAGCAACTTCAACACCTATGCGAGTTCCAGCCTTGCCCTATGCTGCCCACAATGACGACTACACTATGATTGGTCCGAATGGTACAAAGGTACTAAGTAAAGTCTTCAGAGCCATATCATTTAGTTCGCCATCCACGGCCACGCGCAGCTTACTTTGTTTGGTCTTTTCGGAAGAGATACTGGCGAAAAATACACTTAGCGGCAAGCCATCGCCAGCATTTCGGGGACGTGGACGTCCTCCTAAAGGTCAATTGAATCCGGACAAGATTTCAGATATCATACATTGTGTTACATCGCGCACAACTTTCACCGAACATGAGGTTCGTTGCATCATCACCACAAAATGTGCAGATAGCACAAAGAAGTTTAGACGACTCAATAAAATTTCTGAATCGTAAAATTAAGAGCAATGAAGAAGAAGCACGAAGAAAATACTTTCCAGGAGTATTAGTTATGATCTCGTTTGAGGTTTTATATTATTATTTGAGGAGGAAATATGATTTAGGTATATTGTCATAGTATTTTATATAATTTTTATATTTATCCTACATTTTTTAAGCTATGTTGATTTTATATTAATGAAATAATCAATTTAGCGAAATGAAGAGGAAGCATGAAGAGAATACTCTTAAGGAAAATTAGTTGTACACAAGTGAAGTATATAATAATTCTTTATTCATATGGTATTTTATATAACTTATATACATATGCTCAATTTTCTTACTCTGTAATTATGCAAGTATTACATATAATTAGTGATTCTAGTACTTAATTTAATACAAAAAGTTAGAAAGAGCAAGGAAAATGAAGAAGAATCACGGAGCGAATACTTTCAAGCAGGATTAGTTCTGAGCTCAATTGATGTTCTATATTATTATATGTGAAGATGTATGAATTATATTTATTGATGTATTTGTAATAGTATTTTATATAATTTATAAATATTTATAATTTTATTATATATAATATAATCTATTTTAAAGCGAAGTTAAATAAAAAATTATAAAGATGAAGAAAATTAATAAAAGTTAAAACGAGGCACAAAAAAAAATACTTTTAAGGAAAACTATTTATGATCTGGCTCATTATATATCATAATTACATATGAAAGAAATATGATTTAAGTAGAATATATTCATGTAGTAGTTAATATACATAACTTATACATATATTTAATATTTAATTTAATAAAAAAATTAATTAAATAAGTGCTCTACTAGAGCCAAAAAAAATTAAATTTCTTGGTCTTTATACTGTTACGCAACCTCACTTAGCTCAAGAACTTGTATGGAAATATTGTTTATGTGAAAAGATACCTTTACGTAATTTTACATAAATTATAACTTATAGCGGCGCTACAATCTTCGCGCTAATTGTTCAGATCAGGTTACTATAACGTTTAGTTGTCATACAAACTCACCGATCAAAAGCAAAAATGCTATCTTCACGCAATTTGGCATAGATTATTGTCTAATGAGCAAAAACAACTTCCTGTAAGTAAACTTTTCTTATTTTTCAAAAGTATTATAGCAACCGAGGCTGCCGTTTTTTTTTTCTTCTTATTTTTACCATAGATGACATAATGACAGTCAATACATTGAAATATCGGGCTAATAACGATATATGCGACATAAACTCAACTAAATGTAGTGATTAGGGTCCAGCATGGTCTAATTTCCTTAACTTTAAGCACCCAACCACTTTAAATCTAAAATAACATGCCAATAATATACTAACATATAATTCGATAACTTCGATATTTTATTAAATATTTAATTTATATATATTTAATTTTTTTAAATTAACAATATGTGCGGTATAAAACCAGATACCTTGTCAAATGAAAGTGTTTTCCATACAAGTAATTGATTCCGATTGTTCAGTTTGTATGGCAGCTATAGACTATTGTGGTCCGATAGTAAAAAAAAACAAGTGTAAAATTTCAGATCGATAGCTTACAAACTGAGGTACTAGTTCGTATATATACAGACAGACAGATAGATAGCCGGACATGGCCAAATCAACTCAGCTGATCATGCTAACTATTTCTATATACACTCTATAGGGTCTCCCACGTTTCCTTCTGGGTGTTACAAACCTCGTGGCAAACTTAATATACCTGGTTCAGGGTATAAATATATGTAGTTGTTAGGAATTAGAAGAATTTCACCTAACTTCGGCCAACTTTCTAAAAAATTCGGACCACAGGTGCACTCAAAAAATCTCTTATTTATGCATTAAATTGATGTTTTTATTTAGCTTAGTGAAATGATCTGATTTTTTTTTGTATAAACTTAAGCACCACCTCTTGTCAGCAAGGTCATTAAAAAAACAAATCCTTCAACAAACATCTCAACAGTGTCTAACGATGTAATGCTAGAGTTATACAGTCACTGTAATATCTTTACCTTGATCGAATTCAAAGAAAACAAAATTATGCAAAAAATATTTGGTTATGTCAATAAAATATATGGTATACATTAGTAGGTGTGTCTATAACATTGTGCTTCGCTCAAGGTCTGACTAATTAAGTACCGTCTTTCTTTTTTATTGTTATTAGTCAATAGAAAGATTAAGTAATTTCAATATAACTCAAAAATAAAGGCGAAAAGGGATTTTAAAAATATAATAAAATATATATTAATATATTATATTAAATGGGTGTGCCAAAGAATAAAAGGTAAAGGATACAAAAAAGACTCAGCGCAGCAATTTTCAAGTTTATGATTGTCGAAGCTAAAACAATGAATTTAATACTTTCTTTGTTATTACAGCGTTTGAGATGAATACGCGACTACCTGAATAGCACAACGTCAGGTACAACATTCTACCTGTGGGCTACTCTCTGAGCTTATTCTACTAAACGATCGAACGGCCTATAAAACCTGGTGACACGGCCAACTCTACTCACAATAAATTTCACAGTCATTGGAAATTGACGGTAGACTAAACGAAAAAACTACAAAATATATTGACTAAAATATTATTACAAAATATGGACTTCTTGCTACCGATTCTTTCCGAGGATCAACTCGCAGCTGAGATCGCATTACTTAATAAAGCCACAAAGCCCGAAGAAATACAAAAATTGGTAGATAGTTGGTTGAATAAGTATCTACCGCAATTGGAGCCTTGCGAACTCAATCCTGTAGTGCAAGATATTCTTAGAACCAAATCCACATTATCGGAGAAAATGCATCATCTTTCCAGAGTATATAGAAGATTGAAGCAGCAACAAAGAATCATCGCGCTAAGTACTGTGTTATCAAAACGCGCAACTAACCAGTTAATAAGCTCCACGAGTGACCTATACACGACGCATGGTAGGTCAAGTACAAGCAGTTTCAATTTCACAGCATCCCCTGTGTGTTCAAACGCAAAGCAAAACACGCGCTGTGATAGCAATTACCGCGCTGATCCACGTAAGCGTGTTCTGTGGGAAATGAGGCAAGAAACTGTAAATCAAAGCGAGATCTCAACAGAAACGCAATCCGGAAATAATGTAAAGCCTATGGATGCTTCCGTGAAAGCTCAAATGAACGCTGTATCTGAAAATAATACTTATAATGTTGCTAACAGCAGTACCATCAAAAATGTAGCAATTGGCGGAGTGGAAGCCCAATCAATCAGAGGCATGGATGGCACAACTATGCAAATGCCGATCTTGATCAATGATATCGGCAGTACGAACAGAATGGAGAATAATCTCGCTTCCAGTACAAGTACATCACCTCCCGTGACAACTACAACGATATCGGAAAATATCATTAATAATGTTGTTGACAGCAGCAACATCAGAAATGTAGTAAACGATGGTGAAGAAATCCAATCGATCAGTACCATGGAAGGCATTGAATCTGTAGCTGCATATGAAACTGTTGCTACGAGTACTGAAAGTGGCATCAGCATTTCGAATACCGTGGATACTGATCGCGCTACCAGCACGAGTACACCAACCCTTGCATCCTCACCATTCGTAACAAGTTCAACGCCTATGCAAATACCGATCTTGATTAATGATATCGGAATCTCGAGTGCCGCAGAGAATGATCGCGCTGCCAGTACAGGTACACCAACACCAATTTCACCGCCCCGAGCAAGTTCAACACCTATGCGAGGTCCACATTTACCCACTATTGATAACGGTGTTTACACAGTTATTGGTCCGAATGGCACAAAAGTTCCCACCAGAAAATTCCAAACCATATCATTTGAGGCTCCGTCCACGGCCACGCGCATATTGCTTTGTTTAGTCTTCTCGGAAGAGATACTGGCGAAAAATACACTTAGCGGCAAGCCGTCACCAGCATTTGTGGGTCGTGAGCGTCCACCTAAGGGTCAATTGAATCCGGACAAGGTTTCGGATATCATACATTGTGTTAAATTACACACTCCTTTCACTGAAAAGAGTATTCGCAGCATAATCACCACAAAATGTGCAGATAGCACAAAGAAGCTTAGACGACTCAGTAAGACTTAGAAACTCACTGACTGAATTGATAAATGTAGCAGAAGCACGAATAGCAAGCCACGGAGGCACGTTTACCACAAATAATGTAATATATATATTTTTAAAATTTTATGAAGTTCAAATATTTATAATATTTAGAATCTGATTTGTATTATATTATATTTTATGTGATGATAATATGATTTATGTACATACTTATATGTAGATATAGTTCCAATGGTATTTTATATAAGTTTTGTATACATCTATGTTAATATTCTTACACTGTAATTATTTTATGTATATTTAAAGATTTTAGTATTTCGTTTCAACAAAAAAAAATATACGGCTCTGCTTGAGCAAAAAAAAAATCTCAGTTTTTTAGTCGAGTTTTCGCAGCTCTGCGATTGTATTCGTAGCGGCTAATGACGGTAGATCTTCTACAGCTTACAAACAAGATGAAATTATTACAAAAATCTCGATTTATTTGTGTGGATATAAAATTATATTATTCTGATTAGCTTGTCGAAGTGCTTCGATTTAACCATATCCGTCTATCTGTCTGTATATTGTCCTCCATTTTTCTTCCCAAGTAGCTGCTTATTTGTCGGAATCCCCAATCACATATAGCACATTGCTGTAACAATCAAAATCAAGTTCTTGTATGGAAAACTTTATTGTTTCAGAAGTTATCTTCACGAAAGCCTAGAGTGGAACGTAAAAGATCTATTGAGCTACTAGCTCTTAGCACGGTTTACATCGCCGCATTGGTAAGTGTCTTAACTGAACACTGTCCCATTGGCACTCACAAGATGAGGCTAAGGATTTTGGATGACGCCACTTGTCAAACTTGCAGGAAGGAAAATGAGGTGGAAACATCTGAGACTAAGGTTAAATCTTCTGGATTGCCATACTTTCTGCGAACCTGGCGAATTGTGGCAGACTCTAGGTGCTTTTTCGATATGCGAAAGTCTTTTGATACAAACCTAGGACTTTTGGTGATCACAATGGACGGGCGTCTTTAGCTTTCCGAGTAGGAATACCCGTGACCTCACGAAAAATCAGTCTATAATATTTACCTAACCTAACCTAACCTTAGTTCGACTTGAATATTGCTTCTATCAAGCAACGTGGCTAGAAAGGACTAACAAAACAGTTTCTTTGAATGCAAGCCGCTAACCGTTTACGTTTTCTGATATAGTTATACCATAGTTGCATGGGTGAAGGGTGCAGCCGAAGCTAACGTTTTTTTTATTTTATCTGAGTTCATAATTTGACTGAATTTTCCCCTTTTGCTTTTTCTAGCATTATATCAGTATACAAATGCACTTAGTGCCTAATTTTCCGCCTGGGAAACTCCAACGGAGAAAAATCTAATTTCAGTCAGCTACAAGAAAAACATTTTAAAGGGCATTTAAAAAGAAAACAATAGCAAGAATTCAAGAAAATATCTCTTTCAACAAAATTGTTGGTGCACACTCAAACAATTATATAAAATAATTTATGAAATAAAAACTTTACCAAGAGCATTAGAGTACCCACTGAGAGCACGGCGCTTGCACAAAAACTATAAAACATTCAAATAGTTTGCTGTAAACAAAATTTAGGGAACTTCAGCAGCGTGCACTCGCCTCGTTTGCCCGTTACTGGTATTTCGCTTATATTCTACCAATTTCCCTTGCTTTCAGCCTTGCCTCCTCATCGTTTTGTCTTTTATTCTATTGTTTATTTTTCTCTTTACTTTAAAGTTCAATTACGAATGCACACCCCCACTGCAAATCAGTCCCTAACCACTACCATTTTAGAAACTCCGCGCCACTCAATTCAATTCCAGCGCCTAGTTGACCGACTCGCTTAACTTTTTTTGCCGGTTACTTTGCTCTGCGGCCCCTTATTTGGTATAGACGATGAGTGTGTGCAGCGTCGCAATTGGTACATGGCTCATGGCCGGCAGCGAGTGCTTGCATTGCCAACTACGCGTACAAAAATTGACAGACCGCGTATTGTGGCCAAAGCGGAAATTAAGTCAATTTTCGTGCTGTTAGCCATTGCGGTGTGTTCCATCCGTTCTTAACGGCACTTCGCACCAACCCCCAGCTGGCTCTCCCTCTTCACGCTCTTGCTCTGCAGCCACTGTATTGAGCTGTTGTCCTGCAAGTGCCTGGCAATGCGTGCCTGCATTGACAGTCATACATACAAAAAATGGTGGGCGTATCGTTCCTGGTCCAAGGCGAAAATAAGTTACTCAATTAAATATTCCAAACACATAGCCATCAAGTGAAAATTTAAGGAGCATTGTGCTTGTGTTCGTACATTTGTCTTCTGTGACATAAGAAATGAAAGCGAAATTGGTAAATAAGAAAGGTAGCAAAAATAAGAAAAAATTGCGAAGCTTTTAATTTTTGACAATTTTTATTTTTCGTTTCTTTACATGTCTGTGTGAATGCAGTGCCAGGGTGTGAGACGCAGAAGATAGTTAAAAGTACGTATTATTAAGAAGTGAAGTGAGAATTTTCAGTAGTGGTATGGTCCGGCAAGCTTCATTGTCTATCATAAGTTTGCTTTTCATGCTTTGGAAATGGCTAACATTTTATTTTCGAACTAGCCCGGGAGCTTTTTGTTTCGGTGAGCATCTCTTATATTTTAAAATTGAAGAGAATGGTAAAGTATTGAGAAAAAATGTAAATAAAATAGAAATATTTTTACAAATATTTACATACACATTTTTGGAATATACCATAATAGGAAGTTAAGAAAGAGAGTGTCAGAAATGCTTGTGTTTGTGTTCTTTAAGTACTGTTACTCAGAAAACGAATGCAACTAAATAGTAAAATTAAAATAAATTTGATCTAAGCGTGAGATCGGTAGGGAATAATCTACTACGAGCTGCTCTTCCATAACCAAAGTCCAAGTTCAGATCTGTACTACTACCAATTGGACAATATAAAGGGAGCAATCTCCTGCAGAGACCTGCTTTGACCAATTAGAGAGGAGTTGCGTTCCCTCAGAGTAATGCCTGACAGATAGTGACTCGCCAGAAACTTTATGAGCTGGGTTAGGAGGTTTTTATCTACCATCTTTCAGTCCACACCTAGCACCCAGTGGTTACTACCTATTTCTGTTTATGGGGAATGATTATGATGGTGAAAAATTAGTCTTAAAAAAATTATCCAGAGATGAGAGTAGCATTATGATATCGAACAAAATGGTTGCATTATATGCGCAGCATTCTAACTATGCTAAATAATTGATGAATTTATTTTTACTAGACTCCTTTAATAGCTACTTTCAAGTAAACAAATTCGTCCTTAATCAATAATTTTTAATCTCCGTTATTTACTACAGTCATTACTAAAAAAACTTGAATAACTTAACTTTCGTTTTTTCAACTCAAATCGTTGACTCATCAGCACTTTTAAGCACCATTTTGTTTGCTTGGTTTTTATGGTTTTTTATAACTTGCCGGTGTTAACTCATCTTTACCAGCTTCGGCTGTAACTGTAGCAAAATTAGCTTAAATTTATTCAAAATCCGACAAAATGCCATAAACGCTCGCGCACAAATACCTTAAAGTACAAATTCACACAAATATAAACCAAACTCGAGCCAAGTTGCCACGCGCGTTTCCTAATTTTCGAGAATTCCTTTGTTGAATTGCCAATATATTAATTTCGGTAACACACTTTTAGACTTTCTGCGCCTTTTTGGGTGCAGACATTGAAATTGAAATTTAAAACTGCGCATTTGCTTAAATACTTGTTGTTGTGGCTTGCTTTGGCACTTTTTCCTGCGCTTGCATCATAATTATTTGCCTACACCCTTTTTAATGCAAAGTAGCTGTCATTTTTCATTGGTATAATTGAAATTTTTAGTCAATTATATGCGCCATGAATTTATGGGAAAAAGTTTGCCCTCGCTTACGTATACGTCGTGGCGTACGCCATTTCCTTTTATTTTTATTAGCACTTTTGCCAGCAACGCGCTTTTTCTTTTCAACTTGCCTACTTATTTGCTTGCGTTTAGCACTGGGGAAAAGTGAAAACCAGCGAAAATGCGCAAATTTGAGTAAAAAAGCAACAACAAAGATGTGTTAATTTCATTGGCGAAGGAGTTAATGGCAACAGCGCGTTGGTAGAAAGCAGTTAATTTCGTTTGCGTGGTCGATTTCAATAAATACAATTATATATTTTTGTATAAGTAAATATGAGTAAGCAAGGGTTACGGCAATGAGACAAGCAGGCCAACAACTGCGCCGGCGACTGTAGTCAATATCAAAGAAGCGAGTTTGCGTCTTCTACGTGCGCTTCTGTTGCTTGCGGTTTTTCGACTTCGGTATGCGACAACATCGCTTCTTCTCTGCGCCCCATTTTCTCTTTCTGCTCCGCTTGGCAGCAGAAAACTGCGTGATTTATGCGTTTTGTTGAATTTTATATTACGTAATCAGTCATTTACTTCCACTCCACTCGCTGCCTTTTATACACTCCAATGATTATGAGTGCTTCGGTGTGTTTATTTTTTATATTTTCTTCAGCTTGTGCCTAGTATTTACATGTCGAGCATAAGTTGTTTTTTTTTTTTTGCAATTTTTGCTGTTCCCCGTTTCTTTTTCGCATTTCATATAGTGAAGAGTTTTGAAAAATAAACGTCATAGCCGCAGCATAAAATCATTTATTTCTTTTCGTATGCGTAGCGGAGCAACAACAAAAGACAAATTGTGATTGCAGTGACTATCTGACTATATGCATCAACTTGTTAGACAAAAGCTATCGCAAAAAAGCTTCAGTAAGTGTTGTGATTTCTTACATGATAATGACAAAAGACCGCATAAGCGGAAGCAGTCATTAAAACTATAAGTAACTTAAAAATAATTCGTTCGTTTGTGCAAGGAAGCATTTTGAGCTTTTAAATCGGAGAGCATATCACAATATTATCAATTTAAATGGTCACCAGTGCATATGTTTTGGTGGAAGTGTATGATGAACATGCTCTAGCTGAGGAAACTTTGAAGGGCGAAGAACGTTTTGGGCAACCAAAAAGACTTTAAGATGAGCACGCATTACGCGATGAAGATTATTGCCAAACAAAAGGAGAGCTCGCAGAATCTTTGGAAGTCACTTAAGCAGCTATTTAAAAATGTTTAAAAGCAACCGAATACTTTGAAAAGTAAATTAGGTGGCATATGAATTGAAGCCAAGAGGTGTTTAAAAACGATTTTGCATGTCAGAAATGCTTCTGAATGTTAGATATGAATGCGAAATCTTAAACTAAAACAAAAGTTTTTATAAACCATTTTTAATTTGCAGCTAAACCACTGCCTTCAGTGTACAGATGACCTTTTTCAAATAAGTTTATAGAATTTCAAATCGTTTTTCCTTTTGTGAGGCCAGTAGAATGTAGACAAAAAATACTTTACTTAGAAAATAAGTGACAAAAAAATGTTAAATTGGCTCGAAGAAATTCATCATTCGTTTATTGTTTATCAGTTTCACTTCAAAAATTTTATTTTAAACCAATATTATATCTATATCATATTTATGAGCATCTTGCCGAGTGCAATTTCTTGCTAATCGCATGCTTCCCTATCATATCCCACCAAAAGACACCCGACTATATCCATCCTTCC